AATATCTCTCATGAACATTGATGCAAAAATACTCAACAAAATATTGGTTAATCGAATCCAAGAACACATCAGAAAAATCATCCACTGTGATCAAGAAGGCTTCATCCCAGGGATGCAAGGATGGTTCAACATACGAAAATTCATCAATGTAATTCACCATATAAACAAACTGAAAAAGAAAAACCACATGATTGTAGGGAGACACCGTAGCCACGCCTCCTAAAGGCCGGCTACAGGTGTGCTTGACCACGCTTGTCAGGGCTTGGTCGAGGGGTCCAGGATGATGTGTGGGGAGTTCTTTAGGGGGCAGACACGTGGGAGACCTCCCTTCTCTCTGGCCACACTAGCTTGCGAGCTCTGGGCACGCTTTGGCTTGTGATTGGCTGGTGTTTATCTGAATAAAGAAATCTCAGCCTTATGGACTGCAGATCCATCTCATCACTTGACGCCCATTGCCCGATGGGCTATGTTTTGCTACTCCCTGTTACACTTTCCAATTTGTGCCGCTGCTACCCTAGCTGCTGGCAGAAAAGCCGCCTGTCTGCCGCATGCTCGCTCAAATCTAGCTACATGTGTGTGTCTGCAGCCTGAAATCCAGAGCCACCTGGCTGGCACAGCCGTGGGTTTACAGCTTTAATCCACAGAAAACGCTCACTGCCCCCGGCTCCCACTGTGCTGTCCCCACCTCGGCTTCTCGATGCTGCTTTCTTTGTTTCCCGGGCTCCGCCCACCATCTGCTGGGCCAGACCCTGGATGCATCTGCTGCTGAGTCTTTTCAAATTAACTGTGGGCACAGTCACCTGCCTGACGCAAATACCTGCCAGGTACTTTCTAAAAGTTTCTTAGTGGCTAGAAATTTTCTGAAAGTTTCGGATCCTACTCAAAATAGATGTGACTGCTCCACCTGCTGGTCAGATGTAGTTACTTCACCTGAAGATGGCATTACAGTAAATGTAGCTGAATTTCTGTCACCCTTCCCACTATATAATCTCTCCTATTCTTATGCGCATTCAGTGCTGGAGAAACAAGCTGACTTGCTGAATATTGGCTTATATGTCTTATTAGCTGTGAATGTATTAATTCACATATTGTCATTCCTCAGGAACAAAGGGAAGGCTGATTTCCCCACCCGCCTACAGGACATGCAAGCTTTGCATAACAAGGTTTTCGAAGGGACAAGAATAACTTATAATACACTTATGGAGATAGTAGAACAGAAACTGGATGATAGGCTTCGTTCTATGTTTTATACAATACAGGCAGATCTGTCTACTACTCAAGCTGAAATGCAACACATTTATAATAACATAAAAACAGAGAGATGCTCCATTTTAGAGGTTTTACAGGTTATGCAGGCAGAAGACCGTGATGAATTAAAAATTATGCTAGAGGCCTTACAGGTTAAGCAAGCAACAGACCATGATGAATTACAGAGTATTTTAGAGGCATCAGAGGTCAAGCAAGCAACAGACCATGATGAACTGAAAAATATTTTAGAGGCGTTACAAGCCAAGCAGGCAGCAGACAATGATGAATCGAAGAATGTTTCGGAGGTGTTAGGGGCTAGACAGGCAACAGACTGTGATGAATTAAAGGACATATGTAACCAACTAGAAACTCAAATAGTCTCTCTCTCCTATTCCTTTGTTACTAAGGTACAAGATACCCAAAATAGGCTTCAATAATCGGATAATGCCATTTAATCAATGGCTGGAAAATGTGAAAGAGATTGGTAGAATTAGAGCTGAGTTTCAAAGTTTACAAGATGAATTACAGAACAGGGATAACAAACTTGAAATGTCTATCAAGTCGCAAATCACAACCTTGATTCTAAATTTCAATCTCTGGATGGCTATCTCCAAGCCACCCAGATGCTAGCTAGGGTTGAACGTATTAACTGTCTAGAAAACCTTACAGGAGAATTGTCAAAGCAAATTGTGGATTCTATATCATGCCTTGAATCTTTCATGATGAATGAGATTAAAACCTCCCATGAGGATGTCCTGGCCAGGCTGAAGGATAGATTTGATGAAGAGGAAGCAGACTCACTCCAATCTGAGGTGCCTACTTCGAACAGGTATTTCAATCATTCTAAAGTAATTACGCACACACCTTTAGTCTACCCGGCCATGGTGGTGGAAAATCAACCAAGTAAAAGACACTCCCAGGGACAGACATGCATGGCAACCAATCCAGTTGAAAGATCTTA